TTCCGGCTTTTTTCTTTTTGCTTATGTGGTGCTGAGGAATTGAACCCAGGGCCTCATGCATGCAAGGCAAGCACTCTACCACTGAGCCACCTTCCCAGACCTAAGATTCTTTTTTTAAAAGGGCTTTTCCATTTACTATAAAACACTCTATGAGCACCAGTGTTTGATTGGTAATTCATCTGTAATTCTGCTACTCAGGAGGCTGAGATCTAAGGATCATGGTTTGAAAACCAGCCAGGGCAGGAAACTCCATTAGACTTTTGCCCCCTAATAACTAGCAAAAGGCCAGAAATAGAGCTATGACTCAAGTGGTAAAGCACTAGCCTTGAGCAAAAAAGCCCAGGCCTTGAGTTCAAGCCCCTGGACTGGCACCAAATAAAGAAAAACAAAAACAAAAAAACCTTACATGTTGATAACACACAGTATTTTCTCAAGTGTGAAGAAAAACATTCTCAAATACTGTTGCTGTCAGTATAAACCAGAATATTTTGGAAAAAAAATTAGGCAACGTCAAATAGGTCCTACAGCTATGAATTTATCCTAGACATAAAGTAACACAACTGAACAAAGATATAGGCCCACTGTAAATAAATAGAAATTAACTAAGACACCAAAATGTCCACACAGTAGACAGCAATTAAATAAACCAAGGAGTATTTACACAATTAAATGAAATGCAGAATTTGAAAGAATAAAGTAGGAAGGTTGAAAAACTGTATTTAGTACAATTTTTTTAAGCTACTAAATATATAGGCACAGAAAAAAATATACAATAAAAGAATCTGAGTAAATTGACAGTTACTAGTACAACTTTTTTGGGGGGAAAAGCCCCTAGACTAATACTTTTAAGCGTAAAGTTTTCAAATTTGCACCTAAATTAAACTAATATCTTACCTGTTATCACTGTTCTTAGAGGTCTGGTTATCGGGTATGCTGTGCTGTTTGGGAGCTGAACCTGCAACTTATTAAGATAATTGATGATATTAAGCTTTTTAATATCTTTCTCATGGAAATAAGAACAATTATAAATAATTTAGAAAACTGAAAAATGTCCCTCATTTTTAATAAAAAATATTTCACAAATTTAGATCCATTTAACAATTACTCTACACAGAAGAGACAAAATCAGCCTCCTACGCAAACAGTGGAACTACAGATACCTACTGGTAGAGCAATGGTTTACCTCTAAATTCACCAACAATTGCTGGCATTGAATAAATTATTTAAATAGCTGCATAATTATATAAATTCAAAATTGCAACAAAACATTTCATTATTAAAAATTTATGATCTGGAAGTGCTGGCGGTGGGGGTGTCCGTCCGAGACCACGGCGGGGGCTCCGTGCCCTTTGCCATGGAGGAGTCTGGGGGCAGAGAGCCGGCACTAGATGCTAAGTCCGAAGTCACCAGCCAGCTTATGGATGTTCAGTGGAAACTCGGTATGACTGTGAGCTTGGACAGCTGTAGATCACTTAAGTATCCTTATGCTGCAGTAATGCTAAAAGTGGCAGATCACTGGCCAAGTAAAGAACAAGTCCTTTGAAATGACAATTCCTCAGTTTCACAATTTTTACAGACAGTTCAAGGAAATTGCTGCTGTTATTGAAACTGTGTGAAACTCTTTGGTTGATACAGTCCTATCATCATTTGAAAATTATGGGCTCAACTTTCTTCAAAAGAACTACCTAAGGACCAAATAATATTTATCAATGAAACTATTACTTTCTACTTTTTAAATAATAAAAAAGAATAAGCAAGAAAAAATTTTATGATCTCTGGAATTTAAGTTAAATAAATTATATGTAATAACTTTATTTTCCAATACATTTCTCATATTTATACTCACTCTTCCTCTATAAAGACAAAAAGATAAATTACAGACAACATCAGTGATTATCTGACTTCAGTATTTTGGTCCAATTTACACCTTTCCTTTAGTAAACAGAGGGGGAAAAAATAAACTTTCTACATCCTATGATGTTTCATCTAATATGAAAGCAAATTCCCCTTCAACAGTTCAAATAATATATTAACAAATTTTCATAAGGTTATCAAAATAAAGTTCTTGTATGATATAGGTGGACATTTTGGAGCATTATTAAATCCTTAATTCCAAGAGATAGAAAACTCGAGTTACTGTGAGTTAACGATTAAAAATCTTCAACAGTAAAACACAAAAAGTCTGGGAAATAAGCTGCTATTCATTAAGGAACATTGTCCAGAGAATAAACCACAAAGTAAGAAAAGTAAAAATAAAAGAACTTTTGTTAGGAAGGCAAAAGGTAGTATTTAGTTGTCCAAGCCAATCAAGAGAAACAATTATTTGTAAAGAATAACCATGATAATAGAATTTTTTTTAAAAAGCAGTAATAGGCCTATTTGATATAAAAGTTTTCTGTAACAGTAACAAAAATGGCATTGAACATTGAGAAATCCAAATAATATTTTCACAGTATTACCTGGAAGTGTATTCTCTCCTGCATCAAATTTTGCTTGATTTGGCAGAGTTGAAACAGAAGTGTTTTCTACTGCACTGCTTCCCAGCTTGGATTCCAAACATAGGCTGAAATTCTGAACACATGTAATTCAAGGTTTGTGTATCAACTTTTGTAGGGTATCTCATGTTTTCAGTAAATTTCAACATACTAATAAAATTTAAGATAACACTTTCTAACTGAATTCACATAAACATGCATTAATAATCTATTCATGATTTTGCCATAAGCTCCCTTTCTCAGTATTACCTATCATTACTTACTCCCCTTCATACTACATTTAAAACTCAACCCCACTCCCAGAGATTCATTTCACAATTTCATGATTTTCTCAAGAGCTTCATGTCTGGACTGCACTATCCAATATAGTTGTGAATGTCACATTTGAATTACTGGGCACTTGAAAATATGATTTGAGAAGTGTAATAATAATCACAAGTCAGATTTTGAAAACTTAAAGCACATGCTCGTTCTCTCCTCTCCCTTACACACACACAGTATACTATAGCCAGGTGCTGGTGGATCATGCCTATAATCTTAGCTACTCAGGAAGCTGAGATCCAAAAGATCTGGGTCAAAGCCAGCCCAGGTAGAAAAGACTGTGAAAGTCTCACTATATCTCCAACTAACCAGTAAAAAGCAGGCCTACAGGTCATGGCTCAAGCGGTACAAACAAGCACAAGACCTAAATTCAAACTCCAGTACCACTAAAAAACAAAAAGAGTAAATTGTATCATTAATAATTTTTAGAATTGATGTTGAAATCATACCATTTTATGTGACAGGCATACAACATACATTTATGGACAGATATATTATAAATAATGTATTATAAACAATGTATAAAACATATTATGTTAAAATGAATTTTACCTGTTTCTTTTTGTGCCATTAATGCAGCTATTTAAAATTTAAAATTATGGCTCATATTTATAGTCATGATGTAGAATATCTTTCTAATAAAAATTCACATAACTCAAAATTTAGCCTCTTCCAATGAAGCTTTCAGTTTTCCCTAACTCCCTTCACATATTTATTTATATCTCTTTCAACCTCCTTTCACTAATTGAAATTAGTTGAATTATCAATAGCTTTTAGGAGTAATGAGCATATTAATCTTTTTATTCCTAAGAACCTCTAAGCTAAAATCTTATCAAAGAAGATACACAATTAGTAACTAATAAATATATATATACTACCAATTCAATTAACATTGGAAATGGAAGTAACAGGAAACATTTTGTATGTGTGTTATGAATGCTAAAGTGAACATGACATGACTTTAGAACATTTTTGTTGTTGTTTTACACTGGTCCTGGGGCTTGACTCAGGTCCTGAGCTTTTTTGCTTACGGATATCACTCTACCACTTGAGCCACACCTCCACTTTTGGCTTTTTGATGGTTAACTGGAGATGAGTGTCTCATCAACTTTCCTGCTAGAGCTGGCTTCAAACCATGATCCTCACATTTCAGCCTTCTGTGTATAGGCATGGGCCGCTGGCAGCCAGCTAGAACATTCTTAAGTGAACATCCAAAAATAACAGAAAAAAATATATAAAATGATTGTATTAATCATTATACAATCCATTAATAGGAAGCCAATAAGTTACTGATTTAAAAGACAGACCATAAAACTATGGAGCCTAAAAATTCATAATGTCTGGATACTAAAACTAGACCAAGAACTCATGAACATTTTATTGGATACCTGGCTTATCAGCAGTATTACTGATACTGATAATATATAACAAAAAGAACATTACATACAGGTGGCCACATGAAATTTTCAATGTTGCAAGGGTTGTGCCTTTTTATTTGCGTTCCTGTTTCCCCAAATACAAATCTTGCTGACTTCTGAAGCCAGCCAAACCCACTTTAAATTGACACTCCATCCTTTAACGTGTCACTCAAACAAGTTTAAGTTACTTAAGCTTCATTTTCTTTGTATTATGTGGATAACTAAATTTACAGTGTAGATTGTACTTGAGAAATATGATACCCTACATCATAATAAACAAAAGCTATTTTACAGTGAAAACAATCACTAAACAAAAGCTATTATGAATGACTAGTATTAACTACTGTCATCTCACTTCTTAGTGTTTAGGAGTTTACTGCAGTTCTTAAAAGAAACAGCAAAAAACAAAAAAGCCTCTGACAAAACCCATCATTTGTTCAGGTTCTGGAGAAGCTAAAAATAGCTTAATAAAGACTATTAGTGATAAAAAAAAAAAAAAAGCCTACAGCCACTATCGTACTAAAACCATTTCCTCTAAAATCAGGAATAGGATGGACAAGCACTCTCCAATCGTTTTCAATATAATACTGGAATCCTAGCCAGACAAGTAAGGCAAGAGAAAGACATAAAAGGGACTCAAACAGGGAAACAAGAGTCAAATTATCCCTATTTACAGATGACAAGATACTCTACTTAAAGGACCCTAGAGATTCCATTTCTAAGCTTCTAGAGCTGATCAATAACTTTGGCAAAGTAGCAAGATACAAAATTAAACCACAAAAATCAGTAGCTTTTCTATATATCAAAAATGTGCAGATTTCAGAGAAATCAGGAAAACAATTCCATTTGCAAAATCCTCAAAAAAAATTTAGGAATAAGCCTAACAAAGGAAATGATGGGACAGCCAACAGACTGGGAGATCTTTACCAACTATACATCTGACAAGGGCCTAATAGCAAAATACACAAGGTAGTCAAAGAAACTAAACCACCCCCAAATTAATAACCCAAAAATAAATGGGCAAAGGAGCTAAAGAAGAGACTTCATAAAAGAAGAAAGAATGGCTAGTACACATAAGAAAATGCTTAGCATCCCTGGCCATAAAGGAAATTCAAATCAAAACAACATGGATTTCCATCTCACCCCAGAATAAGACTGGACAGCATCAAGAATTCAAACAATATGGGCTGGGAAGGTGGCTCAGTGGTAGAGTGCTTCCCTTGCATGCATGAGGCCCTGGGTTCGATTCCTTAGCACCACATAAGCAGAAAAAAAGCTGGAAGTGGCGTTGTGGCTCAAGTGGTAGAGTGCTAGCCTTGACCTGAAGAGCTGAGGGAAAGCGCACAAGCCCAGAGTTCAGGCCCCATGACCGGACCCAAAAAAAAAAAAAAAAAAAAAGAATTCAAACAATAATAAATGCTGGCAGAGATAGAGAGAAAAAGGAGCCCTATTGCACTGTTGGTTAAGAATGAAAACTCTGGAAGGCAGTTTGGAGATTCCTCAACAAATTAAACGTAGAGCTACCTATGATTAAGCCATACTGGGCATCTATCCAGATCACTGCAAGTCGATACATTAAAGACACTTGCACATCTATGTTCAGTGCTGCACTATTCATAATAGCCAAGTTATGAAAATAGCCCAAATGCCCTACAACTGATTAATGGATCAAGAAAATGTGATACATATATACAATGGAATTTTACTCATCTGTTAGAAAGAATATTATGTCCTTTGCAGGGAAATGGATGGACCTAGAACAATTCATACTAAGTGAAGTAAGCCAGACTCAGAGAGAGACAAACAGCCCATGTTTTCTCTCATATGTGGAAGCCAGAACCAAAACACAAATATGCATGTTAACATATATATGGTTCTATGCATTTACATACACGCAAACATGACTAAAGGAGGGTATACACAGAGGAATCCAAAAGTATAACTCCTCTGAACAACTATTATATATCAAAACAAATACCAGGGCTGGGCATTGTTAGCTCACACCTGTAATCCTACTGACTGACTGAGTGCTCTGAGATCTGAGGATGTAGGTTCAAAGCCAGCCCCAGCAGAAAAGAACCTTTAAAACTATCTCCACTTAACCATTCAAAAACCAGAAGAGGAGCTGTGGCTTAAAGTAGTATAGCACTAGCCTTTAACAAAAGTGCTTGAGGACCACCTAGGCCCTGAGTTTATGCCCCACAACTAACAAAAACAGAAACAGGAAGTATAAACATGTTCTAGAAGACAGAAGTAGGAGGCCAGAGGAATAGAGAAAAGATGAGCAAATTCAGACATTGTATTAATGTATATTAAGATAAATAGGAAATATGTACCTTGAGGGTAGGGATGTGAAGGGAAAAAGGGGGGAGGGGAAATGAAGGAAGGGGTGAAACTGACCAAGAAGCATTACACTCATAACCTGTCATGGAATAGTGTAGTAACCCTTTTGTAGAAAAAAAGACAAGAAACATGCCTCCTTTGTACCAGTCCCTAGATGCAGACACTGAAGTATGTCTCAAACTGGTAAGTCACCACCACATTTCTGAAATAGTGAGCACTTATTAACATTGTTGAAAAAAAAGAGTTCTTTAATAGAGGAAAATATAAACTTGTGATATGTATCAAAACATTTTGTTCTGATTGCACAAAATCAAGTTTCAAATATACATACATAAAGGATTACATACAATTTTAAAACACATCTAAGCATTCTTTATGTTCATAAACTCATAAACACACAAATAAAAAATAGAAGGAATCTACCAATTTCGGAAGCAAGTTTTATTCTGGAGAGGGAAGAAGTGGAACAAAGAAAGTATAGTTGAGGATTTAAATGTACTTATGTTTTAAAGGATCTGAAGAACATGTTCATTTTGTCAAATCTGGGCGGTAGTTACATGTTTATCTGTGCTATAATCTTAAATATTGAAGAATTTCAGAACCATACAATTTTTAAAATAGCAACAAATCTCTAGTATTCTTTCTTATAACAAAGAACTGCATAAACTCAAAACACTTTTCAAATGTTATAAAGAGACAAAACAATATGATCCAAGTAAACATCTCCTGCCTATTATAGTTAGTCCAAATAAGTTGATTTGAATTTGCTTTATCTTTTTTCATAAGCTGCCTTTTGAGGTTTTGTTTTTTTTTTAATAGAAGCAGGGTTTGCACTCAAATCTTCAGGGCATCATGCTTGACTGGCTTGCTTATTGGATTTCTATTCTACCATTTGACATGCACCTCTAGCCCAGCTTTTTGTTGGTTATTTTGGAGACAAAAAATCATGAACTTTTCTGTTGGGCTGACTTCAATCTGAAATCCTCTGGATCTCAGCTTTTTGAGTAGCTAGGATTACAGGTATGAACCATCTGGTGTCCAACTCCTTTTAAGTTTTGAAAGGCATTTATGAAGCTTGTGAGAAGACACATTCAGCAGCAATATAGGGGGGGAAAAAAGAAAAAAGCCACTCATCTCTGCAAGATGGTGCTGAGATCAATAGGAAGTGTACTCATTACCTTGCTCATGTAACTGTAACCCTCTGTATAGTATCTTTACAATAAAAAATTAAAAAAAAAAAGATGGTGCTGAGAATGGACCTATGACATCAAACAGACAAGCACTTTACTTCTGAGTTACATTCCCAGGCCCATAACTTATTACTCCTCCTATCTATTCTGAATTATTTTTTCTTTTCTTTCCTGTTTTCTTTTCTCTTTCTTTCTTTCTTTTTTTTTTTTGAAACAGGTTCTCCCTAGGTAGTCCAGGCTAGCCTCAATCCTTCTGCCTCAGCCTCCAAGTGCTGTAATTATAGGCATGAACTATGATACCCAGCTGTTAAATTATCATTTTTTAATTGATGCTTCCATTTTCATTTGTATAAAAGCAGCAAATGATGTCTGTTCTAAGTTCAGGTTTGATTTTCAACCCTGTAGAGTAACATATACTGATTTATTTTCACACTTTTGGCATAAAGCCCAGATCCCCAGCTCATCCCAAATATAACTTCAAATTACTCAAAATTTCACTCAAATGATTTCCTAATGTTCAGTGTGGTGTATAAAAAATGAGGGGTTGAAAATTAGAACATCTGGTTTCTAGTTTTCTGACACTAAACCTAAATCACACTCTGCTCTCATTTTCTCATTGTAAGATTATTCATACAAAAGTAACCTTTTTTTTTCTTTTCTCCGTCAGTCCTGGGGCTTGAACTCAGGGCCTGCACATTGTCCCTGAGCTTCTTTTGCTCAAGGCTAGCACTCTACCACTTGAGCCACAGCATCACTTCCAGTCCTTTCTGTTTATGTGGTACAGAGGAATCAAACCCAATGCTTCATGCATGCTAGGCAAGCATTCTACCACTAAGCCACCACCCCAGCCAAAGGCCCATTTTTGGTGTTTGGGTTTTTTTGGGGGGTAGTTTATGGGTCTTGAACTCTGGGGCTGAACCCTGTCTCTGAGCTCTTTTGAGCCACGGTGCCACTGTGCCACATGCGGTTTTCTGGTGAGTCTCACAGACTTTCCTGCCCAGGCTGGCTTTGAACCACAATCCTCAGATACCAGTCTCCTGAGTAGGTAGCTACGATTACAGGCATGAGCCACCATCGCCCAGCTCAAAGGCTCAGTTTGATGAAGTTTAAAACTATTTTCTCTAAAATGAAAGTCTTCAATTATTTTCAAAAATTCTTTAGTTGGGGGATGTGACAAAGGAGGTAAGGATTGCCTAGCAAGCATAATTATCTGGATTCAATCCCTAACACTGCCAAGAAATAAAACTAAGCAACCAAGAGCAAGCAAACAAGACATTCAAAAATGTTGGCCAGTACAATTTTATTCTTAGACATTAGACTGATTTATACCTCAGACATTTCAATTTGCCAACTAATGAAAATGACTACACAAATCAAACCAAAAAATACCCTTTTGAAGATGCCAAACTTTTAAATTTCATCAAGTGGGATAAAAGGCTTTTTAATATGGACATGAGAAGACTCATGTTTTTAAGTTCCACATTTTAATCACGAGGCAGTATGTTCTCTATGACTATAATCATTAGTAAAATTAAGCATATCATGTGTTAGGCTAAAAAGAAAATCTGGCATTTAGAAGATTCATGCTTTCCATAAGAGAGAGTAAAAATAAACATAGGAATCATACATATAAAGTTAAACAACCAAAGGAATCACAAAAGTCAATCACTATAAGTTTGGGCTAATAATTTTATGACCTACTTCTTAAGCTAAAAACATTGTAAAGTTTAATAAGAAATAAAAGGTACTCAGGTACCTATACTGAACATAACAAAAATTGATTACCTTATCTGGTGTTGATTCAAAAGAATGTTTCATCTGATTATCCAAAGGTGAGTCAGAAGGTTTTATCTGATTATCCAAAATTTCAGGAGCCCTTTTTGTGGTTTTATTAGTTTCAACTGTAATATCATTAATATTAACTTCTTTCATTTTAACTTCAGATTTAATTTCTTTCATTTTTTCCTGATGGCAAATTATATTTTTATCATGTGGTTTTGCCTCTAAAAATGTACTCTGAGTCACAGAATGATGTATTTCTAAACCTGGTGGTGAAAAATTGGTTCTCAATAAGCCCAGCTTAGGGGAAACTTGAGAGTCTTTATTTTGCTGCACAGAATTAAATTTTGAGAGTTTAATTTTAGTCCAGTTGGAGTTCTTCTTTGTTGAGCTGTTTATTCCATTTAGTATACATTTCACGGGTTTTGTTTTTCTACTGGGGAAGAAACGGTTGCGTTGCACATCCTGATTTGTTTCTTTTTGATGAGGTATCTGTCTTTCAACATCAGTCTCTTCTGATTTTACTTCTGTAGGCTTCTTTTCCTTTATACTTTCTACTTGTGATGATTCCTTTTTTACTTCTACAGTATCTGACTCAATTTCACCAGCAATTTCTTCACAAAGCTGGAGAATGCTACCACGTTTGCTCTTTCCTGTTGGCTCCAAATCATTATCTATACTTTGTTCAGGCACTGATGGCTGTGGACTTTTTTGGGATTTTGTGCTAGTATTCACTTGTGTGTGAGCTGACTTCAGTTCATTCTTTTTAGAAACCAATGAAGTAGCTACTTTTGATCTTTTTATTTCAGAAGTTACAGGCACAGGTTTTGGTTCTTCTTTTCTTGTAGTTTTCTGAAGACACTTTTCAGATCCTTGTACACATTGTGCACTACAAGTATAAACTGTCTGGTGTTCTATTTTGAGCTTTTTTGCTTTAGGGGAATTTACTATTTCATTAATTACTGAATTTTCATACTCTTTACAATCTGACTTTATTTCCAGTGATTTCCTTTTCACATGTTTTTGATTTATTTTAACTTTATTAGACTTACTTTGAGTACTGTTACAGTGTTCTTTTCTTGTTACTGGTACACACTTTTTAACTGCTTGAATATGACCCTGAATATCTCTACTGCGCAAAGACCTTGTAGAACACTCCTTTAACTGTTGTAATCTTTGTGATCTCCGATTAAGATGCTCATTTGCTTTAGAGGTTTGATGCACTAATTTTTTCTGACATTTGTTTTTTGTAGTTTCTTGTGAATGTCCTTTTACAGGTACTATACTTTTAATGCCTTTATCACTGGAGGCAGCCTTTGTCGACCGTGTACTCATGCGTGTTCCCAATTCACACTGATTTACTTTACTTTCATCACTGGGAGATTTAACCAGTGACTTTATAGCTTCCATAGGACCTGATTTTTTTGCTAGATTATTTTCAGAACCTTGAATGTCTATTTCTAAATTCGTATCTTTACTTTCTTTAATAATACTGGAAGAATTTTCTCTTGATTTCTCCTGAATGGACATTATTCCTGAGTAATGTCTTCTCTTTCTGAGTAGTTTTTCAAAGGACAGCTTGTGTCCTGGCAGGTAAAAATGTTGAGTATCTAGTATTACTGAGAAGCAAGTCGTGAAAACCAGCTTTAACTTATGCTGATACACATTTTCAACAAAAGTACTAGTTTGCTTCAAGTACGGTTTTAGATATGAGAAAAGCTGGAATAAATTCTGAAAGATATTTGCTTTCTGTTGAACAAAGCAATCACACTCTAAAGAAATTTTATATTTTTCTATTTGCATAAGTTTTTAAATGAAAAGAAACTTAATTCAGATTTTGTTAAAAATTGTCAATTAATTTTTAGTTTCAATCCTATCTCTATTACTGGAGAAGTTATTTATCACTGACCTGTCTGTTTTGACAAAATTTTTGAAAACTTTTTTCTTCTGTAGTCTACAGTTACTGGACTCTGATTCATTTGAAACATGTCTTATGATTAACACGTTTCTTTCCTTGTTTGCTGGGTATGTTGGTTTGTGGTTCTTATTTAACCTCCTTTGTTTAATAAAGTACTCTATTAATATAGATTTCCTTTTGTGCTGATATGTCTGAAAAAAATAAAAAATAAAAATTAAATTATAATCTAAGTATAATTAGCCATGCTAATACTATGTAGAAATAATTATTCAAATAATGATTTGAATTCTAACACTTATTTTTGAAATGTTTGGACTGTACGCTTAAGATAGAATTGCAAGTGGCATTGTGGCTCAAGTGGCAGAGTGCTCGCCTTGAGCTGAAGAGCTCTGGGACAGCACTCAGACCCAGAGTTCAAGCCCCACAACCCAAAAAAAAAAAATTATATATATATATATATATATATATGTAAACAGAATGAGGTATCCTAACTGTATTCTTATAATCAGTAATTTGTTTTATAAAAACATACAACTGCTGAAAATCAGTATACTTACAATTCTTTTCCCACAAGACAGAATTGATGTTTCAGCCAACATAACTCATGAAAATCTGATAAAACCATTCCTTATAACCTGTTCTTAACACATTACACAGCACCTAAAAGAGAAAGTAACTTTCAGTGTTTAAAAGACAGAAGATGATGCCTGTAATCCTAGCTACTCTGGACGCTAAGATATTAGGATTGTGGTTGAAAACCAGCCCGGGGAAAAAAGTCTATGAGATACTGTATCTCCAATTAATCACCAAGAAACCAGAAATGGTGGCATGGATCTAAGTGGCAGAACTATAGCCTTGAGCAAAAGAGCTCAGAGACTGTACCTAGACCCAGAATTCAAGCCCAATGAATGACCCTCCACCTTCCTGCCCCCCCCCCAGAAAAAAGCCAAGCATCAGTGGCTCACATCTTTAATCCTAGCTACTTAGGAGGCTGAGATCTGAGGATCATGGTTCAAAGCCAGCCCAGGCAGGAAAGTCCATGAGACTCTAATCTCAAATGAACCAACCAGAAAACCGGAAGTGGCAATGTGGTTCAAGTGGTAGAATGCTTGCCTTGAGCTGAAGAGCTCAGGGACAGCACCCAGAATTCAAGCCCTACAACTGACAAAAAAAAAAAAAAAAAAGACAGAAGATGTAATCATCCATTCAACTTTCATGAATCAAATATATAAGACCTATACTACAACTTGTCTTAAATTTTTTCACAGCTTTATACACAGCACTTAATTTTAGTACTTCTACCTTGAAATACATAATATTCAAATTCTATAGTGTATGAAACCACTCAAGTAGTATGGATCCATTTTAAACTATGGGGAAAAAAGTTTAAATTTTAAAAAATTACATTATATTCCTGAAGACGTGGTTTAAATGGCAGAGCTTTGCCAAACAAGTGCAAGTATATGAAGCTCAAACCCTTGTACCAGTTCCTCACTAAAAAATAATCAACAAAAATGGTAAAGTAAAACCTTTTGAGGAAAAGATTACATACACACAGGGAAAAAAAAAAGACAATATAAAGAAGGCAGATTTAATCAAACATTTGTGGCAACTAACATTTAAAATTCACTTTTAAAAAAAAAGCAAGGGCTGGGAAGGTGGCTCAGTGGTAGAGTGCTTGCCTTGCATGCATGAGGCCCTGGGTTCGATTCCTCAACACCACATAAGCAAAAAGAAAAAAGCCGGAAGTGGCGCTGGAGCTCAAGTGGTAGAGCGCTAGCCTTGAGCTGAAGAGCTGAGGGACAGCGCCCAGGCCCAGAGTTCAGGCCCCACGACCGGACCCAAAAACAAAAAAAGCAAAAAATAAAATAAAAAAAAAGCAAGGTGCTGGGAAGGTGGCTCAGTGGTAGAGTGCTTGCCTTACATGCCTTACATGCATGGGTTCGATTCCTCAGCACTACATAAGCAGAAAAAGCCGGAATGGGGCTGAGGCTCAAGTGGTAGAGCACTGGCCTATAGCTGAAGAGCTGAGGGACAGCGCCCAGGCCCAGAGTTCAGGCCCCACGACCGGACCCAAAAACAAAAAAAGCAAAAAATAAAATAAAAAAAAAGCAAGGCGCTGGGAAGGTGGCTCAGTGGTAGAGTGCTTGCCTTACATGCCTTACATGCATGGGTTCGATTCCTCAGCACTACATAAGCAGAAAAAGCCGGAAATGGGGCTGAGGCTCAAGTGGTAGAGCACTGGCCTATAGCTGAAGAGCTGAGGGACAGCACCCAGGCCCAGAGTTCAGGCCCCACAACTGACAAAAAAAAAAAAAAAAGAAACCATAAAAAAAACCCAAAAGTATAAAGGGAAAGAATAAAACTTAAAAAGGTTTACAAAGAAAACCTGAACCCTAAACTAGAAAGAGAAAAGGCTAGGAAGCAGCTCTATTTGAACTATATGACCCATCAAAACTCAAGGAATTGGCAGCACTAGATTTCAAAGGAAATACAGATAAAAATGAGATTTAGAAAATAGATAAGGTAGGTTGGGAATATGGCTAAGTGGTAGAGTGCTTGCCTAGTATGCATGAAGTTCTGGATTGGATTCTTCAGTACCACATAAACAGAAAAAGCTGGAAGTGGTGCTGTGGCTCAAGTGGTAGAGTGCTAGCCTAGAGCACAGAGAGGCTCGGGGACAGTGCCCAGGGCCTGAGTTCAAGCCCCAGGATTGGCAAAGAAAAAAAGAAAAAGAAAGAAAGAAAATAGGTAAGGCTAGAGATGTAGCTCAGTAGTAGACCATTTGCCTAGCATGAATAAAATCTAGGATTTGATCCTGGCAAAATAGACACAGACAAAGATACACACACAGACACAGACACACACACACACACACAGCTAAGACTTCCAGATTGTAATTCACTATTAGCTTCCAAAAGACTGCTTCTGCACTACCACTGAAAACTGGAGTTAGGGGTAAAAACCAATGCTATAGACTCTACAGGTTAAGGACAGAAATATCATACCAACAATAAATAAATACATAGAAGTACACATACTTTTTATGTGTACTCCACTCTACCCGTAGCCCTCTTTGCCTACTCAAGGAAGGCTTTTAGAAACTGCTAGCCAAGCCTGTACTTCATTGGATAGAACAAAAAGATCAAATAATCACCACCGAAGGAATATCTCAACATGGAAGAAAAAAAAGTATGGAAAGAATGACTTTGAAGGAATACACTATACAGAACACAAAGCCTAAAAATAGGGTAACTCATCATCTGTGATACAAGTATTTAAGCATACTCACAGTGAAGCGAGAAACTTTTAAAAAGTCAGTAAAAGCATTTTAAGGTAAACAGGTCCAAAAGAACTATTGGAAGAGCAATAGAAGAAAAAGATGTTATGAAAATTAAGCGACCCATCCATGGATGCCCAGCTGGTCAGAAACTGGTATTTTAATAATACATGAAAAAGGCTATGGCTCATGTCTATAATCTTAGCTGCTATGAAGTTGTAGGGATAGGAAAATCATAATTCAAGGTCAGCCAAGGCAAATAGTTATCAAGACCTAATCTAAAAGTCAGACATGATGGCATACATCTGTAATCCCATGTATGTAGGCACAGATATGAAGACTGTGGTCCACAGTCAGCGAAGACAAAGACGTGACATTCTATCTGAAAAATAAACCAAAAAGCTCTGACAGTGTAGCTCAAGTGGTAAAGCATTTACCTAGCAAGCACAAGACCCTGAACTCAAATAATTAAGAAAAAAATTAGGAAAAGTAAAAAAAAAAATTAATTCAAAAAGTTTTCCTAGAACAAAAGACAACAAAAGCTGGGCAAGATGACTCAATCCCATAATCCTAGCTATTCAAGAGGTTTAGACCTGGAGCTCTCAATTCAAAGTCAGCCTGAGGGAAAAGTCTGTGATATTTGATCTCCAATTAACCAGCAAAAATGCTGGACTGGAGGTGTGGCTCAAGTGGTAGAATACCAGCTGTGAACAAGTAAACAGTGAAAGTGAAAGGACTGAATCATGCCCTAATACCAGCACACACTCATATAAAAAGGCTGTGAGTTTACATTAAAAAAAGAAGAAGAACATTTACCAAAATAGATTATAAGATTTTCATAAGCCTAACATAGGGTAAGCAAACCACCCTCAAACTTCAAGAGACTAAGACTCTTAATTACAGTACAGCCAACTGTATAGCTCTCAGGCCTGATATCACTAGTTACTTGGGATACAGAGAATGAGAGACAAGTTTAAGGCCAACTCTGGCACAAAATTAGAAGAACTTTATCTCAACCAATAAACCAACTATGGTGATTCACACCTGTGTTCCCAGCTATAAAATATGCACAAGTAGGAACATCACAGTCCAAGGCCAGCCCAAGTAAAAATTCAAGAGCCTACCCTAAAAATAATGAAAGCCAGGCACCAGTGGCTCACACTTGTAATACTAGCTAGTTAGAAGGCTAAGAACTGAAGATCACTGCTCAAAGCCAGCCCAAGCAGGAAAGTCTGTGAGCCTCTGACCTCCAATTAAACACCAAAAAAGCTGAAGTGGAAGTGCATTAACCTTGAGAAAAAAAAATTCAGGGACAGCTTCCAGGCCCTGAGTTCAAGCACTAGGATGACATCACTGCCTCCCACCCCTCCCCCTGAAAAAAACTAAAGTGAAAGAGGATGAGAACGTAGCTCAAGTGGTAGAACTTTTGCCTAGCAAATGCAAGGACATGCGTTCAATTCCAAATACTGCCAGAGGGGGTGGGCCCACTAGTGTGCAAAAAAGAAAAAAGGAATCAAAATTATTTCTGCAACATTCAAAAATAGCTTTTCTATATAACAACAACAGTCTGAGAAATTTAAAAACAATTCCATTCATAATAGCCTCAAAAACAATAATTCAAGTGATTCCTTGAGCAAGAGAAAGACCTCTACAATGAAAACTTGAAGAAATTGAAGACATCAGAAGATAAAAGAACTCTCAGTGTTGTGAAAATAACCAAACTGTCACAAACAATTTATACATTCAATGCAAATCCCAATGTCATTCTTCACAAAAATAGAACTATCAATCCAAACACTTGCATGGAAGTATCCAAAATAGCAAAAGCCATTCTGATTAAAAGGAGCACCCCTTGGGCTGGAAATGTGGGTCAGTGGTAGAGTGCTTGCCTGCTATGCATGAGGACCTGGGTTCAATTCTTCAGCACCACATAAACAGAAAAGGCCAGAAGCGGCGCTGTGGCTCAAGTGATAGAGCACTAGCCTTGAGCTAAAGAGCTCAGGGATAGTGCCCAGGCCCAGAGTTCAAGCCCCAGGACTGGCAAAGAAAGAAAGAAAGAGAGAAAAAGAGAGAGAGAGAGAGAAAGAAAGAGAAAGAGAGAGAAAGAGAAAGAGAGAGAGAGCGAGCAAGCAAACAAGCAAGCAAGTAAGCCTCTTCAACAAATGGTGCTGGCAAAACTGATTACATGTTTGTAGGAGATTTAAATTTAACCTCTGTCTCTCACCTTATATAGACATCAATACCAAATGAAAGAAAGAACTCAAAGACAGACTTGAAAATTTAAATCTAACATAGTACTAGAGCTGAAATCAGGGCCTTGTGCTTTTGCTTAGCTTTTTCTACACAGACTGGCATTCTACTTGAGCCACATTTCCACTTCCAACTGTTTTGGGGGTTAACTGGCAGTAAGAATATCATGGACATGGGCTGGGAAGGTGGCTTAGTGGTAGAGTGCTTGCCTTGCATGCATGAGGCCCTGGGTTCGATTCCTCAGCACCACATAAGAAAAAAGACAAAAGCCGGAAGTGGAGCTGTGGCTCAAGTGGTAGAGTGCTAGCCTTGAGCTGAAGAGCTGAGGACAGTGCCCAGGCCCAGAGTTCAGGCCCCACGACTGGAGCAAAATAAATAAATAAAATAAACAAGAATATCATGGACTTTGCTGCCTAAGCTGACTTTGAACCTTAATCTTCAGATCTTAGCCTGCTAAATAGCTAGGATTACAGGTGAGAACTACTGGCACCCAGCTAACAAAATTCTTTGTGAGGTAAAACAGTCAAAGTGGAAATAAACATAATGTGATATATCAATACAGTAGAAAACAGCTCAGCAAATAAAACGAATAAATTACTAATACCTGGAACAAGATGGGGATTAACTTCACAATCATACTGTGACAAAAGAGTACATATAAGATTCTACTTTTCGGAAGTGGAGCTATGGCTCCAAGCGGTAGAGCGCTCACCTTCAGCTGAAGAGCTGAGGGACAGTGCCCAGGCCCAGAGTTCAAGCCCCACAACTGACCAAAAAAAAAAAAAAAGACTCTACTTTTCATGCAAGTATTTAAAAAGCAAACTAATCTATGGAAGTGGGGAGAGGAACAATGACTGATCAGTCATTGCCAGGGATTAGGTGTTGAAGAGAAAGGTTTACTTTTGGGAATGATCAAAATGTTCTTTGTCTTGAGTGTGGTGGTAATTTCCATGAGTATTATCAGTCAAAACTCACCAAATTGTAATTTTAAGAGGTAAAGTTTATTGTATTTAAATTACACTCCAATAATCCTTCCCAACAAAAAAGAACTAAAACTAATTATGATTATGACTACGAAACATTAATAAACAAAAACAAGAATAAATCAGGGTCCTCTGTGTAAAAAGGGTAAAGGACTGGAGGAAAAAACAAAACCACATGCTTATGTATACAATAAGCACAAAAGAATAACAATGCTTCCTAAAATATGTTAAGTGTCAGGAGAATGAAAAAAAGCTTACTTTTCATTAAATAGTCATTTAAATGTTTTATTATGTAGGCATTTACATGTCAAAAAATAAAATGCAACTTACATTTCCCTGAAAATATAAAATATATTTAGCATACTATCACCTCACAAAATTATGAAAGTATAAGTCACTTAACTTACCTTAAGGGAATTAAATCCTTATCAATTTGTTAAGCTGATTGATGATGTCTCTAACTGAATGATGCTTCCAATTATTTCTTGAATATCTGAGGATCTTAAAACAGGAAAATTCTGTAAAGTAAAAACATTAAAAAAAACTATTGAAAAACTAGTACAAAAATAGTATTTGCCTAATAAGTGATACAGTACTAACTTAAACAATGGTCTAGTGATAATTTTCACTGCTGTTTGAAAGACATTACTAAACTACAACATGATTGCCATCTCACTCTCATGCAAGATTTGGTTTGTCTTCAAAAATAACACTTATTATCCCATTCACTACCTCTAAGAGAAAGTATGCTTTCCTTTCCAACTGATGCTGAGCTTGGCCATGGCCTTACTAAATGGAGCTGCATCAATCTCCAAATAGTAGCCAAGCCCAACTCACAATGAGAAGTAAAGCTGAGTTCTGCCTGTATGTTAATAACCTCAGCCATAGCTGCTCTGCAAGACGTGTAAGCAAGATTAACTTATATTTTAATCTACTGAATTATCAATGGTTCTTATATAGCAAGAGATAACTGATAAAATATTACAGTTAATTTTTCTGGAAAGCTCCAGATTTACCAAATACTTAGCCTCATAAGAATAACAATGTGCCAGGTACCAGTGGCTCATGCATATAATCCTAGCTTCTCAACGATGATCTGAGGATCATCGTTCAAAATCAGAAATGTACATCAGACTCTTATCTCCAATTAACCACCAGAACACCAAAAGTGGCGCTGTGGCTCAAGCAGTAGAGCACTCGCCTTGAGCTGAAGAGCGCAAGAACAGTGCCCAAGCCCAGAGTTCCCACGACCGACAAAAAAAAAAAGCTGAGAATGGTGGCACACACCTGAAATGCTAGCTATGTCAAAGAGGGCCAATCCCAAGCCAAAATAAAACACAAAAAAATCCACAAAACCTTTTATGAAAAATAAACTAAAGCAAAAAAGATTAGAAGCCTGGAGTGGAGCACCTGCCTGGCCAACAAAAGAATCTCAGTACTGTGAAAAATAAAAATTTTCATCATTATTTTAGCATTAAAAAAATGTTAGCACTAAAATTTTTCATTTTCAAAATGGTCAATTAGGAAGTGGCACTATGGCTCAAAGTGTTCACTACTAGCCTTGAGGGAAAAAAAGCTCAGGGACAGGAAATTTGTCCCTGAGTTCAAGCCCTATAAAAAATGCAAAAAAGGTCAATTAGCCCAGTGTATACCTATAATCCAGCTACAAGGAGCACTCCAGCCCAAGAATCCAGGGCCAGACTGGACCATCACACTGTTTTTGTTTTTTGCCAGTCCTGGGGATTGAACTGAAGAAGGCCTGGGCACTGACCCTGAGCTTCTTTTGCTCAAGGCTAGCACTCTACCACTTGAGCCACAGCACCACTTCCAGCTTTTTCTGTTTATTTAGTACTGAGGAATTGAATCCAGGGCTTCATGCATGCTAGGTAAACACTAAGCACATTCCCAGCCCTTTTGTTGTTTTATTTAAAAGAAAAATATGGGGGAAAGGTCACTCAAAGCCAACCTGGGCAGAAAAGTCCATCAGACTCTTATCTCCAATTAGCCACCAAAAAAAGCCAGAAATGGAGCTCTGGTTTGAGTGGTAGAGTGCTAGCCTTAAGAGGAAAAAGCTCAAAGCCAGCACATAGGCTAAGTTCATGACCCAGTACTGCACACACACATGCACGCACGCATGCACGCGCACACACACGTAGAGATATGGTTCAAGTGGTAGAGTACCAGCTGAGAACAAAAAAGGCTCAGCAAAAGCTCAAGGCACTGAGTTCAGCCCCTCAAAAAAAAAAAAACACCTAAGCCAACATAAAGGAAGTAGATATATAACCAAGATAAGAATTACTATTAATTTACTATAAAGGACTGTAGCCAGCATACATTTTATGTTCTCTATTCCTTTTCTCTCCTCTTCTACTATGTATGAAGTAAAAAAGTGTTAACTAGCCAAGCACTGGTAGCTCACATCTATAATCCTAGCAACTCAGGAGGCTGGGATCTGAGGACTATGGTTCAAAGCCAGCCTGCAGAGCAAAGTTCACGAGACTCTTATCACCAATTAACCACTGGAAAACCAGAAGTGGAGCTGTAGCTCAAAGTGGTGGAGAGGCACCCTTTAGCGAAAAAAACAAAAAAAATCTCAGGGTCGGCGCCCAGGCCCTGAGTTCAAGAGCCATGACTGAGGGGAAAAGAAGTGTTAACTAATGTTTTAAGTGGCAAATAAAACCATCGAATTAGGATTATTCCTCAATAATATGTGGCTAATACAAAATAATTAAAGACAAAAAATTACAATATAAAGACAGATTTAACTCATATATATATAGATATATATAGATATATCAGAAACTGTTGTATGCTCATGTTTAGTAAGTCCTCTAGATAAATCAAGATTATGAAACATTTACAACACAAAAAAAAAAAAACAGAAAGGTTTAAAAGGGAAAGATTTCATTAAAAAAGAAAAAAAAGAAAGAAAGCCTGTATGGTAACAGCAAAATAAGAACAGTAAAACAAAATGTATTATAAGCAACTATAAATACTTCCTACCATAGTGATTAAAGATTTGACTTGATGTTAAGACATAAAATATTTAAACTGCATGCATCTCAAAACAGGCTAAGGACTGGTAATGTGGCTTAGTGGTACAGTGCTTGCCTAGCATGCATGAAGCCGTAGGTTCAATTCCTCAGTAGCACATAAAAAGAAAAAGCCAAAGGGGTGCTGTGGCTCAAGTGGTAAAGTGCTAGCCTTGAGCAAAACTCAGGGATAGTGCCCAAGTCTTGAATTCAAGCCCCAGGACAGGAGAAAGAAGGAAAAAAGGAAGGAAGGAAGGAAGGAAGGGAGGGAGGGAGGGAGGGAAG